ATATACACACACACACGTATAGGAGTATGTGTGTGCTTGTGTGTGTTTGTGTGTGTGCACGCTCATGTATATGTATACATATATGGATAAAAACCATATACATATATTTAAAAAAAAAACACCGGTTGGAAAAAAGAAAGGAAAGGGAAAAAAAAAAGGAAGAAAAGGAGAGCGGGCTTCCCTGACGCATCGTTTTGATCAAAACCCGTCAGCGAGAGCGGTCAAAGCAACCGGCCAGGATGCCAATTTTATTCCATCTTGGACATTTCAAACTTTGTGGTCACTATTTCCTAAGGTGGAAAGAAAAAGAAAAGGAGAAATAATTAGTTTCTTAATGCTTTTCAGCCAGCTGGGTCCTTCCTGAATTTCGGCTTGATCACAAGGAGTCGGCTGTGCCCTTCCGCCGCTTTCGATGGGCTCGCTTAAAGGTTCTCTGAGCGCGTGAAAAAGAGTATTTCTCAAACGTGGCTGCTTTAAAATGGGGGGGACTTCAACTCCCAGAATTCTCCGGCCAGGATGCTCACGAACCGGAGTCATCGACTGGGATGGAGGGGCCAGATAAATTAAACAAATAACTACGTAAATGTGGGTTTGGGGGCAAAGGATGAAAAATGGCGGGTTTACCTCATCGGAGTCCAGCAGTGGGGGCAACATCCTGGAAGAGAAAGGAGAGAGAACGGCGGTTACAAACACTTAAGAGATGACTTGGAGGTGGCAGGGAATAAAATTCTAGAAATTCTAGGTTTTATGGCATGGATTATAACTCTGTCGGACTGAAATTCGGAGAGGTTTTTTGCCGTGGTCCCCCCAAAAAAAGCCAAGAAAGACCCCAAGTCTCTTCTAATCTTTTTGATTAAAATGCAGGAATTGAAACATTTACCTAATAATCCCCTCAAGGGTGCAATCCTTTACTACAACCCTACAACAGATAGGAGCCCAAAGACCCCAAAGCAGGGAAAATACGGTAAACAACAACAACAAAAGACTTACACGTCAGCCATGGAAGAGGGAATGTTTTCTTCAACCCATTTCAAGTCTTCATCCTGCATCTGGAAAGACGACAAGGGGAAGGAACTTAATGGGGAGGAGGAGGAAGAGAAGGAGGAAGAGAAGGAGGAAGAG